GATGTTAGTTTTGGCATTATGATGTTAGTTTTGGCATTATGATGTTAGTTTTGGCATTATGATGCTAGTTTTGGCATTATGATGTTAGTTGGCATTATGATGTTAGTTGGCATTATGATGTTAGTTGGCATTATGATGTTAGTTGACATTATGATGTTAGTTTTGGCATTATGATGTTAGTTGGCATTATGATGTTAGTTGGCATTATGATGTTAGTTTTGGCATTATGATGTTAGTTTTGGCATTATGATGTTAGTTTTGGCATTATGATGTTAGTTGGCATTATGATGTTAGTTTTGGCATTATGATGTTAGTTTTGGCATTATGATGTTAGTTTTGGCATTATGATGTTAGTTGGCATTATGATGTTAGTTTTGGCATTATGATGTTAGTTTTGGCATTATGATGTTAGTTGGCATTATGATGTTAGTTGGCATTATGATGTTAGTTTTGGCATTATGATGTTAGTTTTGGCATTATGATGTTAGTTGGCATTATGATGTTAGTTTTGGCATTATGATGTTAGTTTTGGCATTATGATGTTAGTTGGCATTATGATGTTAGTTGACATTATGATGTTAGTTGGCATTATGATGTTAGTTTTGGCATTATGATGTTAGTTTTGGCATTATGATGTTAGCTGGCATTATGATGTTAGTTGGCATTATGATGTTAGTTGGCATTATGATGTTAGTTAGCATTATGATGTTAGTTGGCATTATGATGTTAGTTGGCATTATGATGTTAGTTGGCATTATGATGTTAGTTGGCATTATGATGTTAGTTTAGGCATTATGATGTTAGTTGACATTATGATGTTAGTTGACATTATGATGTTAGTTTTGGCATTATGATGTTAGTTGGCATTATGATGTTAGTTGGCATTATGATGTTAGTTTTGGCATTATGATGTTAGTTGGCATTATGATGTTAGTTGGCATTATGATGTTAGTTTTGGCATTATGATGTTAGTTGGCATTATGATGTTAGTTGGCATTATGATGTTAGTTTTGGCATTATGATGTTAGTTGGCATTATGATGTTAGTTGGCATTATGATGTTAGTTTTGGCATTATGATGTTAGTTGGCATTATGATGTTAGTTGGCATTATGATGTTAGTTTTGGCATTATGATGTTAGTTAGTTGGCATTATGATGTTAGTTTTGGCATTATGATGTTAGTTGGCATTATGATGTTAGTTGGCATTATGATGTTAGTTGGCATTATGATGTTAGTTGACATTATGATGTTAGTTGGCATTATGATGTTAGTTTTGGCATTATGATGTTAGTTGGCATTATGATGTTAGTTGGCATTATGATGTTAGTTGGCATTATGATGTTAGTTGGCATTATGATGTTAGTTGGCATTATGATGTTAGTTGGCATTATGATGTTAGTTTTGGCATTATGATGTATTAGTTGGCATTATGATGTTAGTTGGCATTATGATGTTAGTTGGCATTATGATGTTAGTTGGCATTATGATGTTAGTTGGCATTATGATGTTAGTTGGCATTATGATGTTAGTTGGCATTATGATGTTAGTTGGCATTATGATGTTAGTTGGCATTATGATGTTAGTTGGCATTATGATGTTAGTTGGCATTATGATGTTAGTTGGCATTATGATGTTAGTTGGCATTATGATGTTAGTTGGCATTATGATGTTAGTTTGGCATTATGATGTTAGTTGGCATTATGATGTTAGTTGGCATTATGATGTTAGTTGGCATTATGATGTTAGTTGGCATTATGATGTTAGTTTTGGCATTATGATGTTAGTTTGGCATTATGATGTTAGTTGGCATTATGATGTTAGTTTTGGCATTATGATGTTAGTTGGCATTATGATGTTAGTTGGCATTATGATGTTAGTTGGCATTATGATGTTAGTTGACATTATGATGTTAGTTAGGCATTATGATGTTAGTTGGCATTATGATGTTAGTTGACATTATGATGTTAGTTTAGGCATTATGATGTTAGTTGGCATTATGATGTTAGTTGGCATTATGATGTTAGTTTTGGCATTATGATGTTAGTTGGCATTATGATGTTAGTTGGCATTATGATGTTAGTTGGCATTATGATAGTACCATGAACACTTGCGGTCGCATCATGGGAAGATATCGTTGTTACAGTTATACTATGAGATCAGCAGCGCTTCCATTTTGAAGGAAATACCCTTTTCAAAGGAAATTTTGGGTTACATATTCAATTTATAAGGGTTCAAAGTTCGGTTTGAAAATTGGCGAAAAAATCGACTAAAACGGCTTATTAAATTTCTTTGAAGACATTTACTATTTTTTCGGGAGTATTGAAAATTTTAAAGAAGTTAGCTTCAATCTTGTGTTATTTTATGGTTTACATAAAATATTTTGACCTTTGGCTTTGGGCCTTGTGGGACTGATGAAAAATTCGAATGCCAAAGTTCGAATTGAAGCAACAAATCTGGAACGTCCCACATGAGCAGCAGCCTAGGAATTTGAGACAGCTCCGCCAGGCAGTTATCTTAGCGTGCCAAAGTTTAGATGCACAAATGATACCGGAAAGCGCTTTTTCTGGCATGGTTAACAGAGCACGACATTGTATAGGTGTGACATGCTTTTTCAGATGAATAAATCATCGAATGTGTAAATATTATTTATCGTGCGTTGTGTTGACGAGAACAGCATTAAATTAAATGTTAATTTGATAGGCCGATTTAATGTAATTTTAAACATTTTCAAAATTGCTTCTTCGAAATGAAACTGTGATATTTCATTCAATATGGCTCAAATATCTTCAAGTCATATATCAAAATTTAAGTTAGGCCTTTCTGAATTCAGTGAAGTCTACTTGATTGAAACTTCTTGTCCAATTTTAACGGTATAACAAATCAAACACCGATACTTTTTTTTGAGACACCCGGTATATCAGAAGCAGCGGCGGCGGAACAGACTTCGTTCTGGGGGGGCTAAATTTTTTCGGCGACCCCCCCCCCCCGTCGCCAAAAAAATTTCGGCCAGTGTACCACTTTAGGGGTACAATATACAAAAAAAAGGCAATACACTTTTTTTAAACAAAATATTGCAAATTTGTCCCCTTATACCTAAATTTTCAAAAAATAACCTAAATTTTTCCCTAATTATCAAAATTTTTTCCAAAAATTCAAATTTTCTGGGGGGCTAAGCCCCCCACTTTTACTTCTGGGGGGGCTTTAGCCCCCCTAGCCCCCCCTGTTCCGCCGCCCCTGATCAGAAGAACACAATGTTGATATTTACAGTATTATATTTGTTTAGTTTGTTACGTTTCACATAGTTTTACAGAGTACGAATTAACGTTGCATCGCGATTATTGTCATTGATAAGTCACCCCACCCCCACGATTTGTCTGCTTTCCTGTCTCTCTGGGAATCCCACGATCTTCGATATCATATACGATGTTGGAAATTCCAATATTTTTTATCTCAAGTTTCTTTACCATGCTATGGTTTTAGAGTGTTAGTATTACATGAAATAATACGCTATTTTGGGGATATAGACTCTCTTAAATGATATTTTCTACGGTACAATTTATAACTTCTAAAGTAAAGCCAAAGGGACTATTTTTAGCCAGATTACCGAAATGACATTTGGGCCCCAGTTACACGATACCGTATTCGTATCGGAGCGACATCAGTCTAGTCTGCTATTACAACTTTCCATATAGGACGTTTTTGTTTAATTATATTAATTTATATTATATCATAATTTTAAGTGCCAAATTCACATCGAAGCAGTAAAAATCGATGTCGCTCCGATGCGAATCCGGTATCGTGTAACTGGGGCCTTTTAATATTAAGTGTAAAATTAGTGAGCAGTTTCTACGCCAAAAAATTGGTAAAAAGTGATGTCATGGCAATTATACTAGTAATAAATAGTTGTTTTTACGAAATAATATCGACGCGATAAGACAAATGATAATGACTAATGTACCCTGGTTTAATACGTGATTTAATCGAACAGGCCTTCACGCTCTGTTAAATTTGCGACTTAAAAAATACACTTTCTCTATCAAGATATTGTAAGAAAGTGATGATTTGACAAACATATTACGTATCGCGTTCTTGTACTTTCTTGAATCGCATGTGTTCAAAAGTGCATTGCGATTGCGAATCGCGACACGTTAATTCGTACCCTGATTAGTTTTAGAGTCATTTTAATATAAAAAGTTGTTTACGATTTGTTTTGTTTCAATGTAAAGATCTATTCCAAAAACTTCGGATTCTTTGAGAGGGTCAACAGAATTGACCAATAATTGAATTTGATGATTGTCGAAGAAAACTGGCACCTCTGGTACATGAACAGTTTCAACATAGTCAGCTTCCTCTGGTAAAGGACTAACATCATAAAAAGAAAACTAACATCATAATGCCAAAAGTAACGTCATAAAAGGAAAACTAACATCATAATGCCAAAACTAACATCACAATGCCAAAACTAACATCATAAAAGGAAAACTAACTACATATTAATAAATCCGAAGACAACAAAAGAACTAAACACATCAGAACTAAAGATAAACTTCAAGATATAGAATAATCACATCATAATATCAAAAGGGAATTTTGTCTTCCATGACGCTCCATATAAGGCTATTATACAGTATTATATGAGTGAGCCCCCATATCTATCCAGGGACGTCGCTATAGGGGGGGGGGGTGAGGGGCTGTAACACCCCCCCCCCTCAATAATTCAAATGTTGGTCAAAATGGAAGTGATATTTGCGCAAAGGTGGTCAAAATGGAACTGATGTTTGCTTGGTAGAAGTTGCCCAAAGTTATGAAATAGTTAGCAGTTTTAACAATTTTAAAGCTTTTGTTACGTTTGCGATGAAAAATTTGGAAGCTTTGCTCATCTTGGTCGAAAAAATTTGAATTTGCTTATGTTGGTCCGGAAAAAAATTTTTGACAATGCTTATGATAGTCTGGAAAATTTTTTTTTGACTATGCTTATGTTAGTCCGGAAAATTTTTTTGACCCCCCTCTCCCGACTTGGTCAACATCCTAGGAAATGTTGGTCAAAACATGACGACACCCCCCACCCCAATGTTGATGGCTTCGCGACGTCCCTGTATCTATCCCTGCTGTCCCCACAATTTCAAAACAGTAAAAGGTAACCTGCATATTTGTATTTATTTTTAGAAAAAAAGTCAATATTTATTTTCTTTTAACTTTATTCCATTGAGCAGCATCATCAACCAGTTACAACAGGTATGTCCATTAATGTTTCTGACATAACTTTTTAATTTCACAGAATTTATGGCAATATATTTTTTTATTTTCTCATTTGAAAGAACTTTTGAAACTATTTAATAACTTCTTATACCGATTCTTCATATCTTGCTTAGTTCTTGAAATATTTTCACTTGAAATAATGAGATGTCAGCCATCTTGGATAAATTTTTGATCTCATTAACGGTAGTTTTGGTGACGTCACAACAGGGATTAACCATATAAAAGTATTCGTTGTTGACCAAATATTGATTGGTAGATGTTTTAAAGGTTTCATGTGATCTTGATATTTCCAAGAGCATACAGAGTATAATTTTGAGTGCAAAATGATTAGTGGTTGTCTAGATAAAATATTGCATGATCCCTGTTGTGACGTAACATGCATATCTACAAAAATCCAAGATGGCGGACATTTCATTTCTTTCGATTAAAATATTTGTAGAAGTAAGCAAGATATGAAAAAACGGTAAAAGAGTTTTATATATGGTTTTAAATGTTCTTTCAAACAAGAAAATAAAAAAATATATTGCCATTTCCCTTTAAGTTTTCAAGTCTATTATTCCAACAATACTATTATTATATAAACATTTTATTTAAAGCACAGTACACTGATTTTTCCCTTTTAATTTCATAGTTGCTCAGGGCTTCCTCCTTGCCATTTTCAGAACATTCAACAATGGTAAGAATTTTTACTGTACTTGTCAGAATTACAGTAATTACACCCTTTCGATAATTACATCACAACTACACTGTTTTCATGGGCGATGCACAGAGAAGCAGAACATCCTTCTTCAACACATGCATGAAAAATAATTCTTTATTTTGACCAATAAATGTGGAAATAAGCTTTAACACAAAAACGAGGCTCCAGGTCATTGACCTGGAGCCTCGTTTTCGTGTTAATGCTTATTTCCATATTTATTGATCAAAAGTCAATTTTTTTTTTCGCATGTGTTGAAGCAGGATGTTCTGCTTCTCTGTGCATAGCCCATGAGAAAAAACCCTTAAAATCCTTTCCATTTAAGGTGGTTCTAAGTTGAAAACAGTGTAGTTGTGACGTAATTATGGAAAGGGTGTATTACAACTAAGGGCATTCCTGCTCAAATTAGTGACAAATATTATGTTTCTTTTTAAGAAGTTTGTAGATGGTTTACAATTACAATTGTAATTGACAGTTGTTGTAAATTGTCACAATCTCACTGTAATCTACCCCTTCAAGACTGCAGACTGGCAATCGAAAGCACGTACTAAGTACATATTTAAAACCAGAGAACATCTACAAACCTATTATGAATAACCCTGGTTTCGCTTCAAACATACTTAAATATATTTCTTTTGTTCAACAGATTGAAACGATCGTAAAATCAAGACAAGGAAAAATAAGCTTTAATACAAGTTGGTACGTTACTTCACGCAGATCTCTAGGCGTGTTCCTTACATGTGTCCTGCTAGATTTAGTTTTTGAGCGTTTCTGTATTATCTAATTTTTAGGCTGGAAGATTTGTTTGAAAAGATTATCTTGGAGACGACGGGTAAGGACATGTTACTTAATCAGTTTAAGGAGAATGACGCGAAAATTGAATGCGCTGAAAAACTGGGAAATTATGTCAAATCTGTACAGCTGCTGTTGTTTTTCAACTTATGTTTAGAAGAACGAATCTGTTAACGTTGTTTATTTTGACATTGTAGTCATTATAACAGTTTGGCATTCTTAAAAAAAACTTGCATAAATTGCGCAAATGGGTGCAAATGATTGTGTGAAAAAACTAGTGATTGACCGATTGTGCAACAATCTATAGAAAAAACTAAATAGAATGGAACTTTACTTTTCTTTTGTACAGCTGAACGAATTACGCCACTTGTGTGTAATCCTGGACGAATTTTATTAACCTCCGCAAGAATATATTTTCAACCATTTAACAATGTCGAACCGGTAATTATGACAATTTATTTCAAGCGGACAATAACTTCATGAAAGCGTCCAAAAACGTAATATGAATACTCCTGGTTTCACCTCAAACATTTTTCTTGAATGTTTGTTCATAGTTTCCAGTGATGAAATGCAATTTATGTTCAGTAAGAAGAGTTGTGAAACGAAGATATCTACTAAGACATGTTGTAAGTTGATGTAAAACTAGAAAACACGTTTGATTGGCGGTGATACATGCACATTTCAGTTTAATTTGTGTTCAGTCTGTCTTTTAATTTGTGTTCATGAGTCTCAGATCACACGTTCATTATTGTTCAATCTTGTACTGAAGGGTGTCGAAATCTTCTCAGAGGATCAAGCTCACATGTTGTTGGTATTTCCTTCGCAAAAAGAGAGAGATAAATTTTATGACCTGGTTTTACAACAACCAAGTACGTATAAAGAATAGACAATCCGTTTACTACTATCGATCAAGTACTTGGTGACATATGACCTTCCCAAGCTAAAGGTATACAAAACCGTGATTTAGCTGGCATAAATCTGTGACATGTCTTGGCATGAAACATGACTGATTGAGGAATTGAGGAATGCTGGAGACGATTATTTGTATACAGCTATTTCAATTAAGGTTGTCCACGAGCAAAGCGGAAAAGTCGAATACGAGCGCGAAAGGCTGCTGGGAACCGCTTTGAAAATTCATTAATTTGTTAGCGATTCCCAGCAGCCTTTCGCGCTCGTATTCGACTTTTCCGCTTTGCTTGTGGACAACCTTAATTGAAATAGCTGTATATATGCTATTGTGCTCCTTGTTCTAACTCGTAGTTCGAACAGACCTGTAGACACTCGTAGACCTGTACTTCATGTACTTTATTTTAAAGACTAACGTCCGTATTCTAAAAGCTCACTCACACTCAATGAGTGGAGGTTCAATCTGAGCTTCTCTTGAGTGTCAATGCTGTTTTTGAATAGCTGGAGGGTGAGTATAGTCACATAGTAAGGTATGACACTAGCCCTCCGGCTATTCAAAAACAGCAATCTTATGACACTCGAGAGAAGCTCAGATTGAACGTCCACTCATTGAGTGTGAGTGAGCTTTTAGAATACGGGCGTAAGTACACATTGAGTATTGAGTTTGTACTAGCGCACCAATAATCATTGTCGTATACCAGTCAGGTACGACTAAGAATCTTGAATTATCACATCCTAGCTGTGATGTAATCCAGTGCTCAACTTTTGCCATCATTATTCAGTTTTAGAACTACAAGATACTGGGCAGGAAAATATGACTTTAAAATGGCAGAATGGTGTTATTTCAAATTTCGACTATTTAATGTATTTAAACAGGTATATATATTAATTATCTTCATCTTTTTTAATGCGTGATTGGATAGTTGATGATTATGCCAAAGTCTTTTTTGAAACTTCAAAAAAAATTATCTCGCTGTTCTGTGTTTTATTTAGTTTGGCAGATCGTAGTTTTAACGACCTAACCCAGTACCCAGTCTTCCCATGGATCATCGCTGATTATAAAAGTAAAGAATTAGGTATGTTGGTCACAAGTGCTGTTTACACAGTCGCAAAGATCTTGGAAGAATAACGAGCATTTGTCAGAATTCCATGCAAGATCACTTAAAATTTCTTTTTGTATTTTAGATTTAAATAATCCGAAAACGTTTCGCGATTTTACTAAACCTATTGGTGCTTTAAATGAAGCCCGATTAAAACAATTACAGGTACGTTCCACAAGGAAAGAGCCTCCTAGGTATGACTAGGTTGCGAGGTTGATAGCAATAGTTATACAGTATATATAAACGGCATGCATCTCGTCTGTCGGTAGAAGGTAGCCTGCTTGCAGCCTCAACCCGAATTTATTAAATATCAAGTAGGGTTGAGGCTGCACGCAGGCTAGTAGAAGGCTGTAGAACCTCTGTGGGCTGACACTACTTAAGATGTTGCATTGTCCCATTCTGTTTTTAGGACCGTTGCAGGGACATGGCTGAGCCGAAATTTCTTTATGGCAGTCATTATTCCACACCTGGATATGTTTTATATTATTTAGCGCGTGTTGGTAAGTGCGTAAAGTGAGACAGACACACAGGCAGTTTCAGTAATAATAATAATAAGCAAGGCTTTGGTCATTATCCTTGATTTGCCATGATGATAAGCTCAAAGCAGTATTTTCTATTTTTATAGCACCAGAATATTTATTATGTTTACAAGGTGGAAAATTCGATCAGCCTGATAGATTATTTAATAGGTGAGTTTGATCTGGGAATTCTCTAATACATGCATCTATTATAAAACATGACGATATTTAATTTGCTTCGTCTTTTTACGTGTAGTATTGGTGCTACGTGGAAAAATGTTCTCGCTGGCCATGCTGACGTGAAAGAGGTTTGTTATCGTTCTTTTTCTATTAGAATATTAAAAACTGGGGAAAATAGTAATCGCGTTTTGATTTGACAATAGACAATTCCCATTATAGACTAATTTTAAAACTAGGCAAGGAGATGCAAATAAATCACCACAGCTAGAAAGAGCATACTAAAATGAGTAAAATTGCAAAGTTTATGCCAGAAATTACGGGAACCACTGTCACTGAGTATTTTGAAAAAGTACAAAACAATAGATACTCTGAAAATTGAACAGTTTTTCTTTTCAAAATGTTTTCAATTTTCGGAGTATCTATTGTTTTGTAATTGGCAAAGTTTGGTTGCGAAATGTTGTAAAATGCGGAAAATATAGCCTTGCAAGTCAAAGCCTGGGTACGAGGTTGCTTGCAAATTTGCAAATTTTGTATACTTTTGTATTGCGTGCGGAAATTGCTACCATTCGGCCCAAATGTGGTAATTAAACCTGAGTGGGTAATTTCGTTTATCAAAGAGATCATCTCGACTCATTATGTCTTCATATTTGCAGTTAATTCCAGAGTTCTATCAATCTTCTGGCGAGTTTCTGGTCAACAGACTAAATCTTCCACTTGGGATGAAACAAGATAAAACGATAGTTGATGATGTGGAACTTCCGCCCTGGGCAAGTGGTAGGTCGTATGTAAACTGGAGTGAGATTCGATACGTTTATAGGATCATACATATGTACACTTCTCGAAACTTTCCCATTTGAACTCGAGGCTGACAATGAGATTCTATTAGGTTTTAGGTATATATAATTAAGGCGCTGCCAGATCTACCAAAACCTCATCAACACTCACTGGTCATGCCTTCATAGCAAAATGATGTCACAATTATACCCAGTTATTTTCATTTTTAGGCCCCAAAGATTTTATCAGGAAATGTCGTGAAGCTCTTGAATGTCCATATGTCTCAGACAATATCCACGATTGGATTGACTTGATATTTGGTTACAAACAACAGGGCGAGGAGGCATGGAAAGCTAATAATGGTAAGTGGAAACATTTTGTTAGCCTGGAAAAAACATTTCATGTTTTCAGATCCCAAATCAATCTCGTCACCAGGCTCTTCCCTTCACAAGAGGGAAGAGAGCCTTGGAACGAGGTTGATCCAAAATTTGTTTTTTGATGTTTGACAAGAATGTGGAAAAATTTACCGCTATTATGCTATCCTTTGTCACTATGTCCTGGATGTTCCCAATCAAATGACTTTTATCAAATGAAATTTATTTACCATAAAATATGTGTGAAAATTGAAAATGTTCTTCAATATTTTCCCCAGGTCTGTTTATAAACTGGATGCAATAAAATACACTGCCATACAGGGCCGCCAAGAGCTTGGCGGGGGCCCGGGGCAAAACATTTTTAGGGGCCCCTATTGCAAAAAAATTTTCCGGAAAAAATTTTTTCCGACAACAAATTCTTTTTAGGTGCGTTATAATTGCTTTCGTTGGACTTTTCCGCAATTTTCCATACCAAATTTCGGTTCAATGCTCCCAAAACACAAATATTTTGGCCCGAAAACAGAAATATTTCGCCCGAAAAAATGACTGGGCCCATTAAATTTCTAACATTAAATTTCTAGAGGCCCCCAGAGCCTCGGGGCCCGGGGCAATTTGCCCCCCTGCCCCCCCCCCCCTCTCGGCGGCCCTGCTACCATAAGTTGATCGTATTTGTTATTTTTCTTTCAGTGTTTTATTACCTCACCTACGAAGGAGCGGTCGATTTAGACAGGTAATATACCAAAATTGTGTTCTTTTATAACTACGTCATAAATCCATCCTTGGTTCGAGATTGTCGGTCTTGTGAATCCTGAGCGGATAGTCTGTCGTCGTGATTCACGAGAGCGAGTCCAGGGCAAGGACGTATTTGTGACGTAGTTATCGAAGGAGTGTATTATGTTGAACTATGTAAAACCATGGATAGTAACAACATTTGGCAAAATGACTCGGTATTAAATTCTAAGTTTTACGAACAATTATTACGATATTTTTTTCATTTCTTTAGCATAGCGGATCCAAACGAGAGAGCATCGCTTGAATCTCAAATTCTTGAGTTTGGTCAAACTCCGAAACAACTCTTTACCAGTCCACATCCGAGACGAAGCGTAAGTTTCACTACGAGTACTAGGATCATTATAGTAATTTAATTTAATCTAATTTAATTTATTTAGTTTACTCCTATTATATATTCTAATGTAGGTTATGAGGCGAAGTTAAAGAAGCTAATAATTAAGAAAAATGTCTCTTTCTTTGTAAAGCGACTTCAATGTTACCAGAACTATATTATTTTAACAATAACAGTATGAATTTCTACCGCAATATCGTGGAAGAGTTGTCAGTTATTCCTGTAGTAAACTTACCCGAAATAGGCCGTCAATAGGCTTAGAATGGACAAGAAAACATGCATTTTAACAACGTGAAACATGTAATGTATGTTTGTTCAGGGTGCTAGGATACCAACGTCAGTTCCTCCAGCCTTCGATGTTTTAAATGGCGTCAGCAACTTGGACATGCGAAAGTTTGAACCTTTCCTAATGGAGGATGTTGATCAAGAAGGTAGCTAATCTCCGGCAATTTTATAACCATAACAAGTAACCAATTTTTTGTAGTACCGGATCCCTAGAGAGAACAGTTTAGAACTGATAGAACTGAGTATGATGGTTAAATTTAGACCTAACTTGCAAAGCAGGCGTTTTATTCCAGGCCCACCTTATAACGACCCAGATATTTTTTTATTTGAAACTTGTTTCTTCTTTTAGTGGACGTTGAAGAATCCAATTTCTGCTCGGAAGAACCACCTGGCTCACCTCACTGGGGAATGTTTAAAAAATTTCAACATGATTCTAGTCATCGCTTGCATAAAGAGTAAGAAACAGTGTTTTTTATTTCCTACAATGTCTTCAACTTTGCAAAAATTAAACATTACTGGCTGTGAATACTAATATAAAATTATTTAAATTTCAACTAATTGTTAAACTAAAATATTCTATTAAAACCTATAGCTATATGTAGCATAACACATAACGCGTTACTTAGCATAAAAAACTGTTAAAATTTAATCTGTATTTAGAAATGTTAACTCTCGCATGGAAATGAAATTAAACAACTTTGTTCTCAGCAGACATAAAAGGTTGGTTTTAATGAATTTATATCAGTAACACTAAATTGTTAATACATAAAGTTATTAAATAAATTAACCTCGGAAAGAAATCATGTAAAAAGAAGAAATGTAAACCATTGTTGCTGATTTTTATCAGATTTTCGTCAAAGAGATCGAAAACCTCCATATGGGTTTTAACTTTTAAGTTACTATTTGGTTGAAAGAATTTTTTATTTAGGGCTCACAATACTTTTGTCTTTACATGCTCTTAAATTTCTGTTTAGTTGTGTAACTTCGGTTCGTCTCTCACTTGATGGAAAAAGTGTTTTCTCTGTTTCCCAAGGTAAGAATAAATGAAAAATGGCTTTATCATGTTTCACGTGAATTGGATATTCCGTGTCGGGTGTATGCAAATAATATACATCACAAGCTAGTCTGTCCTTGGTTTTCCAAAACATAAACGGTCTTCAATTCATTTTCAGATACACAATTAAAAATGTTCAGTTTACATGACAAACAACAAGTTCGAAGCATCAACCTTTCCTCCATGGTAAGTTGTTTAGATCGTAGTTTTCTTCTACAGGGTTCGTAGCGGTCTTTGAAATCCTTGAAAGTCTTTAAATCGGAATGCAGGCCTTTGAGATCTTTGAAAAATCTTTAAATTGTGTGAAAAAGCGAAGAAAGTCTTTAAAAGTCTTTAAATTCTTTGGTGAGGACGATTATACGATTTCCTAGCTAATAAAATAGATTGTTTGAATCAAGATTTTCGCAAATATCGACGAAAATGCGCATTTTAGGATGTGATTTGACGGGACTAATTACCTGGTAAAAATGGTGCTTACACTCGCAATTTTTCGACAGCTGATTGCTCTCAAAGGTCTTTGAAAAGTCTTTGAAAAGTCTTTGAAAATAGGCAGAAAAAATCTTTGAAAGTCTGTGAATTTTTTTGGTCTTGGAGACTACGAACCATATTCTATTAATGTAGGTTTTACTAAGCACTGTTATGCAGTATAGATGGTGGTCAACTGGTAGTATATGTAGTTTACTTCTATAAGTGCTATTAACACTTTCAAAGTTAACACTCGCACACTAAAGTATAGAGTCGCTATCACGAATTCAATCACATCCGCCAGGAGGGGAATAATCGGGTAATCTTGGATTTATGTTTTATTTGTTAGGCACTGTCATCTTGTGCTATCATGCCGGACTCCAAAACAATTGTCGTTGGATCTTGGGATAACAATATGTAAGCTTTTGTCAATATTACTGTTTTTGCATGTGTATTTGACAATAATTATAGTTGTTTTATTTTCTATTCTCTTGGTTCTTTTCTTATAGATATATTTATTCCGTTGAATATGGCAGAGTGACAGATACCGTTCGTGGTCATGATGACGCAAGTATGTTTTACAATTATTATTACTTTCACATTTTCTTGTTTTGCTATAAAGTGTAAAATTTTTTTGAAATCAAGGCGATGTTCCCTACTCTTAAAGTCAGTGTTAATGTAGTGTATACTTAAACTACATATCTACTTTTCTTTAGTTTCATGTCTGTGTTGGAATGATGGGATACTCGTTACTGCTTCCTGGGACTCGACGGTCAAAGTAAGTGTGTGAACTGACAATTAGATCATAACCGTTTTTCTCAAGAAAATCTGAATTTTTTGTTATTTTGTGTATAGGTTTGGAGGTTTGTGCCAGAATGTGGTGGAAGAAAAGCATCTTCTCCAGAACTTTTAGTAAGATAAAATTATTTTATCGTAGGCTAAATATAAGAGAGATTTAGATTTTGACTTCCACTACCTCTCACTGGCTTAATATACGCATTTGATTGGTTAATCGGACAGATTAAACACATCTGATTGGTTGATGGTAGCGGCAGTAGAAATCAAATTCTAAACCTCTTTCATGGTGAAAATAGCTTGTCTAATGACTAGGTAGGATAATACGAGAGTGCTTTGTGAATACGTAATTAGATTAAAAATAATCCAAAACCTGTAATTTGCAGATTGGATATTTCAGTCGTACTTCCATTATCCAAACACCGGAGTTTCAATGTTCGCCTGTAACACTGCACCAATGACAGGGGATGGTCTTTACCACAATTTTAGAATAACAGTTTAGAACTCGCATAGCTGTCCACTATAAATAAAGTTTAGGTTTAATGAACTAAAAAATTTCCTAAAAATTTTATCGTAGTAATTTTTGTTTTCTTTTCAAATTTCAGACCGAACTCGATCACGATACAGAGGTAATACATTGCACGATTCACAATCTTTTAAATTTCCATTATTATGATCTCATTCCGTGATCTCTCTATCTATTTGCTACATAGGTGAATTCTGTGGATCTACACCCAACCAACACATTGGTCGTGACAGGGACAACGGATGGTAAGTTAAAGGCCCATCTACACGATACGACTAGTTGTATACGATTCTTATCCTGGCATATGTACTCGAATAAATATGTGTAAAGGTGCCTCATTGATGAACCAATACACGCTTCCAGAAGTACATCATTTGGACTATGAAGCCTCGTTTTCCTATATGTAACATTAGTTACAGTCAAACCGGATGTTCTCTTCCAGGGTTTTCAGTTTTGTGTGAGGCTCTGGCTAATGGCGATGAAGTTATGGCGATAGATATTATTTCTACCGATAGAATGTACAAATTTGGGCGAGTACACATAATAGAGACGTGACTATACGTAAAAGCTCTGGCGAATTTGGGTGGGGTTGAATGAAAAAGTCTGGCGAAATTCGCTGTTCCCCGGCCTAAACTGAAAACCCTGCTCTTCTTGCGGGCAACATTGCAATATTGTCCCACAATATTGCAATTTTGATTAGCAGATTGCTCCGCGCAATTTGATTGTAAACAAAAAATTTGTAAACAAATCCTTTGATTGGACTATTAATACAAAAAGGAAACTAATCAAATAGTCCGAGCGACTGGATTGGAGCTGCCTTTTTTCCTTATAGTCCAATCGGAGGCTTTGTTTACAAATCTTTTGTGAATAACAATTTGTTCGCGTCGCTTGCAAATTGCTCAGAGAAATCTGCCTATCAAAATTGCAATATTGTGGGACAATATTTTAATGTTGCTCGCAAGAGAACATCCGGTTTGACTGTAAAGCCTAATAGCTCAGTAACGAAAACCAGGCCCTATAGCCAAAGTGACATACTGTCTGGAAGGGTGTAATTGCGTTGATGTTTTCACACGAAAAATCGAAAATTAGCCTAAGTGATTGTGATGTATGGGGCAGGGTATTGTATTTATTGTCATGACGTCATTCTATTCCCTAGGTCACGTGTTGCTGTGGAATATTGATAAACGAATCATCATCAATGAACACGAAGTACATGGGAGTACGGTGCACACAGTTGCCTTTAGTCCAGGTAAGTGAATTATCTCTTTTTCAATATCTGTCCAGGATTAATGGGTCCTTGTAATAGATAAAGGCCTTTCTACACGATTGTCATTTCAGTGTGTATGAAAGTTACTGTTCACGACACAATTCCACTTCATTTAATTTATGGTGAAATTTTTTTATTTGTATTAAGAATCGCATACGACTGATCATATCGTGTAGACAGCCTTTGACACAATTTCCCAATCTCAAGTTTTGAATTGTTCTGAATACGAAACCAAGTAAGAATTATTTTTGCTGTTTTTATTTAGATGGTCAGCGGATATTGTCTTGCGGTGCAGACCAATGTATCCGAGTGCTGGACGTGCAGACTGGAACCGAGCTTTATTTGAAGGACCTTGATGACGAAATCAGGTATAGTTGAGTTCATTTTATTCAAATTAATCTTACTGAGGACTGCATGTACTGATTGATAAAAAGCTGTCAGTGGCACTTTTGGCTCTGTAATGTTCTTGTCTTTGCAACTAAGGACAAACAGTTGCTGATAAAATATTGCCTCTCCTCGCATGAAACTTTCCTATTTGTCAAGAGAATTTTTCAGGTTTAATCAGCACGACTAGCCAATTAAACACTGATTGCACCGCTACTCTTGGCTTGGCCTGAGCTGGTGGGTCTATAGTTGCATTTTTCGCAACTGTTTCTGGTAAAATCTAAAATATGTATATGTTTCCATCTACCGTACGAAAACCTTCAACAATATCAACCTTGCTTTGGCCTACATTTTGTAGTGCAAATAAACTTTTACCAAACTAAGCCTGACCTAGGCTACAAATCTGGACCCACTACGATCGACGACCTAGACCTTGCCTAAGTCAAGCCTTGTGGCAATGTACATATTGTAAACGTGTCACAATCATTGGCTTTGCTAAGGCCAAGGCAGTGTACAGCACGTCTTAAAAAACCTCGCGAAACTCTTGACAAACATTTCACGTGATATTCATCCTTAGATTGAAGTGTGTTTGTGTTTGATTCAGGTGCGCAGTTTGGGATGGTCAGCTTGTGATGGCTGGAGGAAGTTCTGGTCAGTTACATATCTGGAATTTATTAAATGATCAAGAAGTGCAGAGGGTTGAAGGACATCAAGGTAAGCAAAATGCTCCCTGTACTCCCCCCCCCCCTCTCGGGCTGCCCTACTGCAATACCACTACATTGCGACGTATAAACAAGATCTCAAATTCAGTCGTGTTCTTAGGTCCAATTCGTTGCGTGGATGTCTCGCGGGACGGGCTGACTGTCGCAACTGGCGGCGAGGATAATCAGGTCATATTGTGGAAAATCGCCGTCTGAGCCATGATATTCCTTCGGCATAGGTGCTGGACACTATATGGTTGAAGGGGAGCGGTGAAATAATTTCTCAATACCTTTGAATCAATAATTCGCTCCCCATTTGTATCACAAAGTGTAATTCACCTTCCTGGGTCATCGGGGAACCATTCCACAAGGACATGATATGCAATGACCTACCTCAAACGTATAGGGGTCTAGTGTAGGTAGTATTTTACAATAACAAGTAGCCATGGTTTGTGTCTGAACTACCTGAAAAAAAATATTTATATACACATTTTTGTTCGGGAAATAAGATTGAAACCCCCTTCACGCCCCCTTTGACGCTTTTGCAAAATGCCCTCTCGAAACTGCAGAGGTTTTTCACTTTCAAAACGTTCAAGTGGTTCATACACAAACCACGATTGCTTATACTAGCCATCATACTACGGGTATCAGATTTTATTCAACTGATATTAGAGTAAAAAATGTGTAAATGTTTGGGCGAACGTAATATTAAAAACAAGGACAGTTACAAAGTAAACAAAGACATCCCCACTACACACGTAAAAATCTCACAACTTGTCAACAAGATGTGTTCGCAACAGGCTTGTAGCAAGCTTGTTAACAAGTTGTAACAATACTGTTATTTCATCAAGTTGCTACAAGGTTGTCACTCACAACTTGTGGACAAATTGTTGAATTGCAGAACGATAACAAGTTGCAAGTCTGTTGAGTTCAACAATCTTGTAGCAAGTTGTCAACAAGCCGTTGACAACTTGTCAACAAGCTTGGAACAAGCTGTGCGAACACATTCTGTTGACAAGTTGTTGGAACAGCCTTGCTACAAGTCTGCTGCAGGTTTGTTACAACTTGTGCGTTTTTACGTGTGTTTTTATAGTGAGAAAAAAATTATAACAATTCATATTTCGCATGCACGTGTAATGTACATGGACAGATATTTATACTGCAAATTCAGAAATTGTAATGTAGGAATTATTTACGCTCTATTCGCGTGTATCAATTGCAATTTGTACATAAATTATATAAATATTAGAGCACATAACCATAAAATATATATTTATTTATTTAGAATAAATTTTTATTCTCAATTTTGTGTTTTCATATCCAAAGTTTTGACTGTGACGTCACAAAAGGAACATTTAATACTTCGTCGAAAACACTCAGGATTTCTCAGGGAAAAAATGTTTGTCTTTTGCTAAAACGCGAATAATAGTTCTATCATTAGTATACTTATATCATATTAGTGTATTGTACTTGACTACTTGTCATTAGTTTCTGGAAACTGTTAGGTATGTGTTTACGACTAATTGTCTTAGTATGCTCACTATGGTATGCTCTAAAATGAAAAAGGAAAGGGGGAAAGGAAAATTAAAATATAAAATATAAAAAGTGTATTTTTCAAAAAAAAATTGCAAAAAGGGACTGGCACTACCTACAAAGCACGGCTTCAATCCCCCCCCCCCCTGAGTTCCTCTGAGTTAGCCTTACAGCTTACTTATATAGTTCAATGGAGAACCCAGGCTTGCCCGATTTTAGGGACCGCCTGCCATGCAGGCTAAGAGCAAAAGGGAACTTCAACTTCAATGAACTGTGAATGAACGAAGTTTATATTTCAGCATGACGTCGAAATATTTTGAAAGAAGTCGTTTTGTTGCCGTTTTTGTTGTGTTTTCGCAACTAATGTTAAGCGAATCCGTTTCTCTTAACGGAACCAATCTTAGAAATGTTGAAGCACTGATGAACAAGAATATTAATAAAGGTAAACTAGTCTTTTTATGAAGATATTAAAATGTCAAGGAAGTTTTATAATTTAATTTGCTATTTTGCTTGCTAACCTTCTGACGCATAGAACATTTATAAACATTCGCATAGTTTTACATAAAGCATATTTAGCTTTCATAAAAAGCATGGCTTATCCAAATTTGTTAGCATACGAGCTAAAAATATGAATAAAATCTCAAAAAAATTTTCCGGACATACCAAAAATTTTCCGGATATATAATATTTTTCTCGGAAATGAAAAAAATTTCCTTGAAATAACATAGATTCAAGTTTTCAAATGAAAAAAGGCAAACTTTATGAAAATATTTCATGCAAAAAAGGGCACTTTGTTCCCAGAAAAAGGGCACTTGACAAAAGTTGGGGGGTCTGCCCCCCCCCCCCGGTTCCTACGCCCCTGACTGGAACAAAAGATCACAATTTTGCAATAATACCGATCAGTCTACTAACTTTAGGGGCAATATACCCAATATGGTATTTCCAAGAAAGGTTACAATTTATTAAAATGCCAAGATATTTAATATGATTTTTACGTTCTAAGGAAACATACATTTTTGAGTGAATATCATAAATTTTCAGATCCACCACATAATCTGTCCGTTTTTGATAAGGATGAAAAATAATGTAGTTAGATTTATAATTAATATTCAAAGACAATTTGTTCGCTATTAACCAGCTATGAATTTTAGAAAGTTCAGTGTTAACAACGATTTCTAAGGATTTTAAATTTTTATCAGCATATATCAAATTTGTAGCATCAGCAAACAAGTAAAACTTCAGCTTTTCTGAAGAGTTATAAATGTCATTTATATAGATTAAGAAAAGCAAAGGTCCTAAGATTGACCCCTGAGGAATGCCAGACAAGGTTTCTTCTTCGGCAGATATGTTTTGGCAAATTTGTGTTATTTGCATACAACTTTAATAAATATGCAGATGAAAACCAGTCATTTACAACACCTCTAATTCCATAATGTTGATGAAAGCAAGTCATTTACTACACCTCTAATTCCATAATTCAAAGGTTATGAATATATAAATGCATTAGTGACCATTGTTTTCTTTTGTGTTTTCCCAACTAAGCAACTGCACTTCTTCATATAAATGTATATTATGTGTCTTGCCATCGTATACCCCTGCAGTGATACAACAAAATCAACCGGAAATGGCGGTTGTGTTACCGCAATATGTGTCATAGGCATATAGCAATGCTGAAATACACAAAGCTTTTGTGTGGTTTATTTATTTATTAACTTTACATTCATAGAAAAGTATAACAATGATTGAAGTTATAGTCAACAGGCATGAGTTCCATGTGAGGCGAGACTTTTTTTATTTATTGGAAAAAAACAGGTAGGTCGGTCGGAAAAAACCCAACAAAACACACTAAGTATAAATGAGAACCAAATTTAATAATCTCTGTTAAATTTCTTAACGAGTCAAGGTTTACTTGGCCTGTACTTCATGTCAGAACCCCAAATTAACTAAAATTGTTGACATCCAAATTTATTATTTTTACTTTTTACTTTCTCAATATTATGGTCGGCAGATCTGTGAATCAATGAATAAAAAAAGTCTCGCCTGAAGACCAACATAAGAAAACACAAAAGAAAACAATGGCAATGCATATTTATATTCATAACTGACTGAAAAGTGAAATTTTGTACTGTATTTACAGGGTTTTTTGTTTTGATGAAACACACTAACCTTATGATTGCTCCCATCTTCATCCAAAGTGAAACCCTCAATTTAAAACGTAACCCTAAAAAGCGGCGAGTGTAATTTTTGGAAAAAATGTCGCTTGTAATTTAATATTGCATTGAAAAAAACGCTGCATGTATAAATTGTTGCATTGAAAAAACGTCGTGTGTAATTGTTGCTTTGAAAAAAGCGTTGTATGTAATTTTGAGGGAAAAAATGGCAAGTGTAATTTTGAATAAAAAAACCAATGGCTAGGTTCTAGAATACCCTGCCACTGCGTTTAGCTGTGTGTTAGGGGTTAGGTTAGGGTTAGGTCAGTGGCGGGGTATTCTAGAATTGCTCCAATAACTAAATTTGCTACACGCGGGTTGTATTTTTGATAAGTCATTTATGTGTGTACAGTGCAAGCTGTTTTTTTTATAAATGATAAGATTTGTTTTGTGCAGCTTGCAAGAGATTTTTGTTGCATGTGGAAAATTTGTATTACGAAAGTCACCGAACTGTGGAATCGCATAAAAAATTTGTATATATCGACCACTCCCACAAACGTCTACGACCGCGCCTACATATTTTTGCATGTTTACAATTCTAATTTTAAACAGCCAATCGACATATAATTGCAATTATTACCAAGAACCTGATTGGCTGTTCAAAATTAGAATTGTAAACATGCAAAACTATGTAGGCGCGGTCGTAGATGTTTGTGGGAGTGGTCGATATACAAATTTGTTATGCGATTCCACAGTTCGGTGACTTTTGTAATATTAGTTATTATAGCCTAGTTTTTAATGACATTTCTTTGTTCACAGTATAACTGGATCAAGTTGTTTGACAGTCTAGCATTGTTACTGATAAAAGATTTTAGAGCTAGGAAGCTTAAATCAAAAAGCTTCCCAGTCATATAAACATTGATATAAACTGTCTGAGAAACCAGCATTTTGGTCCCCCTGACCCATCCAGTTTTCATGTTTCTTACTCTTGGCACTGACCTGCGAAGGTTCTCGCATTTTGCGTGAAAGTTACGCATTCTGCTTTTGTTCCCGCTGTCCCACATGCATAACTAAAATGATCTTAAAGTTACGCATTTTTACCATTATATGAAGCTTAATCCCACTTTTTGTACAATAACTCATTGACAACGCTTTGTACAAGCGTAGAATTAGAGTTAACAACGTTAGAATTAGCGTCAGACGCATCATGGCCTGCAGTACATGGCCAAACATGCATTCTGACGATTTCCGACGATTTTCATGCTTTCTGGAGACTCCAAATTTCCAAAATTTTCTCAATTTTCCTCACATTAAACTGCACGTAATACTTTCATATTGATCAGTAGTTATTTTAGTTATCTTCATTGTCAGGCAGTAGTAAAACATTGAAATCTTGGGTAGGAAAGACTCTAAAATGCTATTTCCTATGGTCTAGAGAATTCAAATTTTCAAAATTTTTGCTCGGCGCCACCATGATGGCGCCTCATGGGCGACGCAAAATCAGGTGAATTGAAACAATTCAGGCAGTAAATCTAACCTCCCCCACCCCCCAAAGGCAAAGTCCTCGCAACGGCCCTGGTCACACATTCTTATCTTCCGAACTTGGCAGGTCTGTCTTGGGCAGATCCTACCAAACCTCGTGTAGTCCTGAAAGGAAAAGATCAAGAAGGAATGACGTACAAGTTGACACATGATGAGAGATGTAGAGAAGATATTGAAGACTATTGTGCCCAAGAATCTCGTAAAGCAGGGAACTATGATCTTCTCTTGTGCTTGCAAAACCAAATTAAGGTACGGTACTAATGTCAGAAATTCTCAAAATGCGACATGATGTGGTAAAAACCCACACAAAAGAGCCACTAATTTTTCATGTCAGGCTGAAGTGGTTCTTATATAACAGGTAATATATCTTACATGTCTCATAAAATAGAATACTACTATAAACATATTTATTTTTAGGAAGATGAATTATCTGATGAGTGTCATCAGGTATGTTTGTCAATGCTAAATAAAAATCAAACTTATATATAGTATATTGAACTTTAATCTACAAGGATCTCATTTACCCATTCATGTACTTTAAAATATGATAGCCTCTGCCATGAGGTTTTGTTTTCATCCATGTTTGTATGTGTGTCAGCATAAATATCAAACATATTAATACCAGCAATGGATTTACTGACTGGGGGTGCACCCCTAGCCCTGGCCAGAGGGGGTGCAGGGGGTGCTATTTTTCATGATAAAGCAAAAAATATTAGAGACAAAATGAAATACAGTACTTTGAGTATGACGATATTAAGCAAACTTGAACAACAATTACAATTCAAATACAGTAGTCAAGCAAGACTTTGCAGTAATCACTAGTCAAGCAAGTTGATGGGTGGGCAGCGGACATGATGGACACAACTCGGCACCAGAGCTGGCAGAGCACCCCCCCCCCCCTACCAGATCATGCTGAATGCATCCCTGATTAATACAAAAAATTGTGACAGTGATGAAATTTTGGTTAAATTTGGATGGAAATTAAATTTGATGAGAAATTAGGGAAAGTTGTCTTGCTTTGCCGGGCAGTGTGAATTGAATGCATAATTAGCTCATTGTATAAGTTATGCATGCAGATACATAAATTAATTTGCTGGTGGAGGTATACAGTCTCCAAATTTTGTTTTATATTTGTTTTAAATGAAATTATAACTTAACCAAGTCTAAACCATTTTATAATTGTGATTTTGTGTAGGCCATATGGGAGTACAAGACCAAGCTTGTTCACAACCCTGTGTTTGAAGCACCAGTGATTGATATTTGTAGAGATGATTGGCAAAAAGTTAGTTCTTGTTGTTTTGTTTGAAATCTCCATTCCCCCAAGCTGTTGTAAAATAGAATATTGGTAATCGGTATCGGCCAAAATCGGCCTTGAATATTAATTATATACTATAAAATGTTGACAATTACTACAAAAGACAACTGTTTTCAGCAATTTCAGGATGTTTAAATTTCCAATAATTTTTGATACTTCATTCCTTACAGATTGATGAGTGTAAAGCTATACAGCCAAACACAGGTGATCTTGTACTATGTCTTGTCGGAAACAAAGATGGCATTCAAAATGCAAGGTGTAAACATATTGTCAATAAACTGGCACAAATAGTGTTCACTGACTACAGGCTGTTGAAAAATTTCTATAAAGATTGCACAGCTGATGTAAAGAAGTTTCAGTGTTCGATGGAGGAGGGTGTAAGTACTATAATTATTATAATTATTGTAACTGGTGGTAGAATATATTTAAAATAAAGATATATGCGAAAGTGAATATTTGCCTACTTGGCAAACAATGAATTCTGCAATGTTATCCTTACAAAAGGAAGTTTGGCAGAGTGAATACAAAATTCGGAGTTTGTTTTGTACTATTTTGTAAAATTATGGACAGGTCATATATTTTGGTCATAAAGCCTGGTGTGCACAATGCGATTTTAGTGGAATCTATGTGGAATCTATTTGGTCGAGTATTTGGTTGAAATAACAGATAAAAATCGGAACACACTGCAACTGGAACATATTGGCAAACTAAAATCGCTTAAAAATGACACCACCAAGGATTTCATTGATTTTAATTGACCCATTAAAATCACATTGTGTGCGCCTGGCTTAAGATTGTCGTATTTTCCCAGGATCAACACACGCAAGGATCAACGCTTGAATGTCTAGAAGACAACGAAGCAAACCTCACAGCCAAATGTCGTCATAGAGTTCTTCGTGTGGCTGAGCTGCAAAGTGATGACTACCATATGAACAGAGCTCTATATTATGCCTGTAGAGATGACAGAGAGCATTTCTGTCCTTCGGTTGAGTCTGGACAAGGCAGAGTGTATGCTTGTCTAATGAAGAAAAAATTCCATCCTGAGATGTCGA